TCACAGACAGGGTTTAGATTAAGCCGGGATTAGGCCATAGTTCAATTAGGACATTTAAGTAGCTTTTATAAACGTGCCTTGGATAAAAACACTACTGATGTGCATCTTGAGACAAAAAACAGTTATTTTAAGATCAGTCAGTTCAAGTTGTTTTCAGTTAAAACAGCCCAGACATGCATTTTAGTCTGTGAAACTGGGGGATAACGTCTTTACACCTTTTGCTTATATATTGCTTAATTTACACCTTAGTTTTAATAGATTATTAACTCCATAAACAATACCACTGTATGAAAATACATACACTTACACACTTCAATCTGAACGGTTATTTCGGGACAAAAAAAATTCTCAGCTGTTGTCTCTATACAAGCGGCCATCTTGCCAACAACATCTCGTTTTGACATCTCGCGTGGTTCTGTGTGATTTGGACAACTTCAAGTTAAGCCCCCTTGTTCAAGTTACGCCTCCTTCCAGTTACGCCCCTCTCCAGTCCGCAGACAGACACTCTTGCAATATTTCCTGAATGATTACAAATGTTTAATGATTAGTTTACTGATAATATATCCACATTAAACTCGAATTTACTGATTCTGTATATTATTTCATGCATTAAGAGTTTAATTTTCGACTTACATTTTTAAGCAGCGATGATTGATTATTATGTGACTTGTTTAAAGTTTTTTTTTTTTTACAATTATAATATATACACAATATAATGATGAAAAAAGTACAAGAGTTATTGTTTTCATAATATTTTGTATAGACAATTGTTATTTTGCATTGTAATGAAGGTTTTTATGACAACAAAAATTGTCATTACTAAAAATTAAACACTAATTTCATTCATATTGTTTTTCAATAGGTCAAGCACCTTTTCATAAATATGGCTTTTTCCAAGTTTTTTTTTTTAAGATTTACATTTCAAAAAGTAAAAGACAAGTAGGCTACTTCAAGCTTTTTAAGCAGCTTGTACAAACCCTGGTAATATCTGTTATAGACCGCTGTAATTGTCTATTCTAACAAACAAGTTTATTATGATTAAAAAAACATGTAGATATAATTTAAATTGCGCGATAAACAATTTGCAAACAACAGTATAACAGAGCAGGTTTTAGGTTTGTAGATGTTTAGATGCAGAAATGGAAGAATCCTAAAATAACATTGCATAGTTTTCATTAAATATTGATTGTTGTTGGAGCAATAAATAAATACATACATAAAAAAAGCCAAGCAGTACCGTCTCCAGGCTGAAGGGGCGCCAATGATCGCTTGCACTGGCACTATAGTTTAGCAGGGTTGCGATAAAGAGTGGCACGGTCACCCTGAAATAAAATGAGAGTACTGTCAATCTGACGATGCCTGTATGCCATTGGATCAGAGTTATGTCAATAGCTGCCTGATTGTTGCATGCAAAGTTTGCATTTGGAGCGCTCATAAAGTGCTATTAGATCAATGGGCTCTGTCAGTGCTTTGGCAAGGTAACACTTTTTTTTTTTGTTTTTGTGCCATGCAATAAAGCTAAGTACAAAGGCCAATTTAAAATACTGGTACAGTAAATAAAGTGCACACAATCAGCATTTTGTTTAGGCAGTATTTGTGGCAGTTGATGAATCATGTTGCGAGATTTGTCCAAAAGGTGTGCGTTTTGCGCCAATTCATTGTTAAATGATCAGCGTGTCATGTAATATTCCCATATTAACCTTAACAGCCAATTAAAAAAAATTGGTATTGTAAAATTCGCTAATTCACGAGATCAATACATCCTTTATTAAACCGCTTTGTCGAGTTTAATGCATCCTTACGGAGGTGTCGAAATGCTGAATCAATTCATTCACTTCCAACAGCTCTTAAAGGGAGCAGCGTCTTAATTAAACTGTGCAGAAATGGTTAAAAAAATAAAAAATAAAAATAAAACTCGAAACGCTTGATGCTTTCATTAGAGTGACCTCATAAATTTTAATAATCGTTTTATCCCTCTGTTGCATATTGCATCCAGAGCGTATTTTTGTTTGTATAACCACAGGTGCATCGGTTTTTCTTGTTTCCTTTTATTTATTTATTTGTTTATTTATTTAAACGCCACATAGGAAGTATTATTGTAAATCAATCTTTTAGTTCAAGTACTAAAGTACTAAGTACTGTTTTGAACGTTTATAGATTTACTATTTGTTATTGCTCATGCCTTACATACGATCAATAACAAAGGCTGTGTCCTTGAATATTTTTACGGTGAGAAACACGTGAGAATTCATCTGTGGCTGATAAATTTGTCGCGCTTAAGCGCTTTTCTTTCAGTCTTTCGTGTATTTCAAATATATACAAAGCCTGTTTTATAACTTGTAATCAAAAAATGTTGTATAGCCACAGCTAATAATTCTTAGCTGTTTTCAAAGAATATAGTTTAATAATAACAATTAATTTCAGCATTTAAGAAGTCTACATTACGCATGACTTAAATGTATTGTGCTATCCCCAAGACATGGGTGCAACGCAAGAATCTTGTTACCATTACAAAATTATGGGGGAATCTTGTTACCATAATGGAGGAAGTGTGGGTACACTGTGGGCTGGGTGTGGACACAGTGGGGCAAGTGTGGGTTCACTGTGGGCTGGGTCGTCCCAGCTGAAAATGTGTACCTAGGGTCCCAGTAGACCTCACAGTATGCCCACACTTTGGAGGGAAATGTGGACATAAACCTGTGTAGGGCCTTTGCGGCCTTAACAAATAACAAAACTTTGTACCTGCAGAATGCTGCAATATTACTATTAATGCACATGCAGAATAATTGCACATGTTGAAAGTAGAAGTAATAAATTAAGAGTCATAAATTTGAAATACTTTGATTTATTCAGGGCCATGTAAAAAATGCAGAAAATACACTGCTCAAAAGTTTAGGATCGGTAAGATCTGTAAATGTTTTTGAAAGAAGTCTCTTATGCTCACCAAAACTACATTTATTTGATCAGAAATACAGGTAAAGCAGTAACAGTATGAAATATCACAATTTTAAATAACTGTTTTAATATTAAACTTTTTTTTTTAAGTTTTACTATTATGTTTAATTTGAATTTCCAGCAGCCATTACTCCAGTCTTCTTCGTCATACAATCCAACAGAAATGATTCAAATATTCTGTTTTGGTGCTTAAGAAACACTTCTTATCATCAGCAGTCTCGAAAATTTCATTTGTGGAAACAGTGATACATTTTTTCAGGTTACTTTGAATAGAGCTTTTAAAAGAGCAGCATTTTGTTTAAAATAGGATTTTTGTCCAACAATGTAAAAGTTTTTACTGTCACTTTTTATCAATTTAATGCGCCCTTGCTGAATACAAGTAATTTCTTAAAGAAAAAAAAACTTTCTGACCCCAAACTATTGAACAGTAGGATATATTGAATAGATTTATAAAACAGAACAATGACCAATTATAACTACATCAGAACATTAAGTAGATATTATAGATAATTATAGATAAATCAATCCCCTAAGGGGCACCAGTAGAGCTCTGCCTGATCTCTGATCTTTTGGTTCTTCTGCTTAGGGCCCCAGTAGACCTCACAGTATGCCCACACTTTGGAGGGAAATGTGGACATAAACCTGTGTAGGGCCTTTGCGGCCTTAACAAATAACAAAACTTTGTACCTGCAGAATGCTGCAATATTACTATTAATGCACATGCAGAATAATTGCACATGTTGAAAGTAGAAGTAATTAATTAAGAGTCATAAATTTCAAATACTTTGATTTATTCACAGCCATGTAAAAATGCAGAAAATACACTGCTCAAAAGTTTAGGATCGGTAAGATCTGTAAATGTTTTTGAAAGAAGTCTCTTATGCTCACCAAAACTCAATTTATTTGATCAGAAATACAGGTAGAGCAGTAACATCATGAAATATTACAATTTTAAATAACTGTTTTAATATTTAAAAAAACTGTTTTACTATTATGTTTAATTTGAATTTTCAGCAGCCATTACTCCAGTCTTCTGTGTCATACAATCCAACAGAAATTATTCAAATATTCTGTTTTGGTGCTCAAGAAACACTTCTTATCATCAGCAGTCTCGAAAACAGTTGTGCTGCTTCATTTGTGGAAACAGTGATACATTTTTTCAGGTTATTTTGAATAGAGCTTTTAAAAGAGCAGCATTTTTTTTAAATAGGATTTTTGTCCAACAATGTAAAAGTTTTTACTGTCACTTTTCATCAATTTAATGCGCCCTTGCTGAATACAAGTAATTTCTTAAAGAAAAAAAAACTTTCTGACCCCAAACTATTGACAGTAGGATATATTGAATAGATTTATAAAACAGAACAATGACCAATTATAACTACATCAGAACATTAAGTAGATATTATAGATAATTATAGATAAATCAATCCCCTAAGGGGCACCAGTAGAGCTCTGCCTGATCTCTGATCTTCTGGTTCTTCTGCTCCTTCCACCATCCCAAGTCTCTTACGTTACGGAGCCACTTTAATAGAAGTTTCCATTTTAGATGCTGTGGCCTGGCTGATTTTTGTTCCAGCATCTACCTGAGAAAGAAAACAACAATTAAAATGTAAATATGTATAT